ATACAGACTTTCACGTGACACGTTTATCATACATGTTGAGAAATATTTGTATTGGCACAGTTGGTGCTTCTCAGTCAAATACTAGAAAGTGAATAAAGTTTTGCATCTTCAGTGATAATGGAATTACCTTTCCCTTAATTATTGATGTGAAATGTTGTTGGTGTAACTGTATAATACAGGTACTAATAACTTTTGAATATTTTATTTGAAATGCATGATTCAATTAAATGATCAATATATGTTCTTGTATGTGAACTCTTTATTATTATTAACAAAAAATATACAGTTTTCAAAGAGAAACGTTTCAAGGAAATATTTCAGTAAGTTGCAGTGAACTTGACTGTGAAGCAATTAGGGAGTTTCCGTCCATGATATATGTGTAATAACGATTTCACTCATTCCCCTCTCTTGGTATGTTATGTCTTGTGTGTACCACCTCGTTTCCCTGACAAAGTAAAGCACAGGGAAGTGTTATTATGAAAATGAACAGACAACCTGAGAATGAAAATATAAGCGGCTAAAGTGAGTCACTTGGTCTATTGTGTTTCTTAGCTTGCCATGAAAAGTGCCAGCTCAGTCATACACAGTTTTTATATCACAGTTGAACCTTAATTTATAATCATAACTGAGATCGATTCGTGAGTATAGAAAGGTAGGGCTCAGATGCACCAAAACTTAAGTACTGCTTTTTTTTTAAGGGACCCATATTTAAAATGGAATCAGCACGTGTTTGTATATATCTTACATACAAATCAAGTTATTTAATACCTGTGTCATAATGTGAGTTCTTATCAACTCCATCTCTTTCTCCATCTCTTTCTCCATCTCTTTCTCCATCTCTTTCTCCATCTCTTTCTCCATCTCTTTCCAACGTCTTGCACTGTGAAAAAGAGAAAATTGACTCACATAGACCTCAATGAATAAGATATTTGAATACTGTCTATTAAAATTCCAGATTTTGGCTCCAATATAATTTTGAGGAAACTCAAATATAAGATGGAGACAGCACTGGGAAAATTCTGAAGTTATCCCAGCAACTATACTGAAACTCTTTTTAGATCACACGGAATGTTTGTTATTAAGATTTCGAAAGGAGGGATTTTCATTGCTTTAATATCTTGAGGGAGGAATGCATCCAAAGGATCAAAATATAATAAAAGTAGGATTAAACCTGCTCATGCTTTGGAATTTTTCTAGTAGTGTTAGCACGTGTCTTACCTTAAAGTGACGTAACTGCTTTCAGAAGACTGTGACTGTACATTCTGGGAGACCATAGGAGAAAAGTGATATGAATTAGACATTGACTAAAAAAGTGTCATCCCCTAGAATGAAGCATCCTTAGGCGAAAATGACACGCTCAGGTTGTTGTTTCATCCGATTATAACGAAGTGAAGCTTTTTCCAGGGGCTTTCAATCCAAAAGGAGATCATTTCTTGTTTACTTACCCTTGGGTGGTTGCTTTGTCCATCTGGCTGACCTGCTACAACTCTGGGACTTTGAGTATCACTAAAATGGATTAAAAAATCATAATCGTTAGTTTTGTTGTTGTTTAAACTCCCCTCTTCCTTTTGAATCCGTCTTTGCAAAAACTGAGAAAGTATCAAACAACAACACACTCCAGACGAAAATAAGCACTCTTGAGTGAAATGCTAGGTTTTTCCTTTAAGAAATTTTCAAGAAGATTTTTGCAAGCGTTGAAGTTTGTAGAAATTTGGAGGTGAAATAATACCTTGTAAAACACATTGTATCTGGAGTTTTTCATTGAATAAATGTCTTCGTGAGTTATTCCTTTGGACGAGTCCATTGGTTTAATTGCAGTCTCGATTTTAAAATGTATGTTGCTAAAGGTTATGCGTGCAAACTTCCAGACTATAGTCTTAAACTAAAGTAGCGAACGAATTATGAGAACATCTCACCCTGTACATGTTATTGTAAGAAAGTATTGCTTTCAACTCTTATAATTTGTTCCAGTGCAAGTGACGCTTTCGAGAGATAAGTGAACTAAAATGGTGAATCTGCCGTTTATTTTCCAAAGTTTTGAACCCAAAACAGACTTTAAAATGGTTTTTGTAGCATTGGAAAAGTTTTCATGTTTGTCAGCCTTTTTTCTGTCGTTGATATCCCTCGGGTTACTTTGAAAACGGGTTGCGTCTCATGTGGGATATGTGGAATTACAAATCTAGACCTTCGACAAGGCTCGGCGAGGTACAGCAATGCAAGCCTCTCCTAAAATGCCTCGTATTCTATTCTGTAGCGGTCGATTCTACATTTGTCTTTAGGACGAGTTTCAACCTCAATTTATTGAAACTTAAAGGCTCGAGTTCGGCTTTAGTGGAATGGAGAATCGAGTTAGGAAATTGGTAGATAGAACATGCTTCAGAGGAAAGTAATTGATTTGAAACGAGCAGGAACGTGCTGCGTTGATGAATCAGAGCTAGAAGGAAAAATTTCTCGTATGACATACAATAGTTATGCAGTCACTGTCAATAATGTCACTGTCTGATCTTACCTGAAGTTGGTTGCCATTTTTGATTTTGACGCACATCGCTTGCTCACGTTGCTTGCCTGAGTAGCCGCGCCTTTCAGGCTAAGAGCGAAATTTTAGTGTGAACCTTCCAACGATTTACAGTTCCTTAAAGAACTGAAATTAAACGTTGAATTAAAACGTTGAAAAGTCGAAGCCGCGAGAAAATTTTCGCCGCATTTTGATGTAGCCTCGAATTGTCGTATCAGCCCAATGAAAGTACCGTCGACGCCACGCGCGGTTGACCCTCTTTCCTTGTGGTTTCGTATTAAATATTTCAATCAGTCGTCTTTGTTTGGTGACTGGACTTGCTATGACTGTGTTGTTCAAAGCGATTGTACTCCATTCGATTCCTCTGACATTCTAAAAATAAAAATAAAGCAGATTCGTTTTTAAGCTTAGGCTGCAATCGCGGGAGAATCTTTCGCATTAAGGCAAATGAAAGCGTTACCTTTAGCTTCAGTAAGGTTGTGTGTACCATCATGTGCCTCTGGTGGTAAATAGAAGACTTGTTCCAAGCTGTTTTTTGCCATGTAGAACTGTTTTTTAAGTCCCGTGTTGAACTGATGTTATTGATGAACGTTAAGACGCAAAATTTGTTAAATGGAACCGTTAGAGATTAGAAACAGTACTGACGAAACTGCCTTAGTAGCTATTGAAATGGCTTCATGGGGGACGCTAAAGCTTTTGGTTTGAAAATTCATCAGGGCGAATGATACTGTCGCCACCTGTTTATTTCAGCAGTAGTTCTACTGTACCAATAGATTCTAATAAAAACCTTGATCTGATTGGTCGAACACAATATGACTCAAATATATCCTGTGGCGCGTTTTTCATCACTTGTTAATAAAAATGCAAATGCAGTTTTCGTTTACAACAACTTTCCATTGAAATCCTAGGTTGCATCGATTTTTTCATCTCTTTGATTCGTCCATAAAACTCCCACAACCAACTCAATCAATCAGATGTAAGCTACAGGTTATCGCAACTCGGTTGGGCTTCTCTTTAGTTGAGGCCAGAAGACTGAAAAAAAACTCTTCAAAGTAAATTCACAATCAATCACCCGTGCTAATTTCCCTTTTGAGAATAGCTTATGCAATCATTGGTAACCATGCCATGCTATGTTATGTTACGTCATTTGTTTGGTATGAAATACTCGTCACGCAACTTTTTTTAACGGATTCTCAAGCATAAATTTGAATGTTGAAATACATACCGTTGTTTTTTTGCATGGGTGTTTGCCGCTGTCTCAAAATATTGTTGAAGCAAAAATACGGCGGCAAAAAATATTCACCAAAGAAGCTTTCGAAGCGTGCGGCCTTTCTAGCGATAAATTTGAGGCTTATTTGGCCGAGAAATTGCTAAGTCTTCGCTTTGTTGTGTTATTTGTGATGGGAAAGGGAATACATGAATGTAACACTAACGACCGTAACGAACGCGTAACGACCGCGACCAACACCTTTTGTCTTGAAGTGGCTGTTAAAAGAGAGAGTAATCACGGTTTCGCGCCGCTAAATTGTGACTTTGAAAAAAACAAGGCAGCTGTAGGTATGCTCTGTAACGTTGTTCAGTTTTGAGTTTGGTTCAGAAGGCCAAGGTTGAAGATTGAGCTTCATTTCCGTTAACATTCGTCTTAAATACTGGTTTTTTGATATTCAATTAATTGCAAAATGCTAGGCCTGCGAACAGTTTAATTATTAACTACAATTTTGAGTTCGAGCATTCGTGAATTTTCCTGAAAAATGAATTTCCCTGTCTTTGTGATTTTCTCAGTCTCTCCTTCACTTTTGGGTGCTGTAAATAATGGATTATTTGATACTTTCTAAAATTGCTTTGACAATAGCGTTTAAAGAGAAACTTTATCCACTTTTTGGGATGTTAACTAAGTAACTCGCATGAACTCGCATGAAATTCTATTAAGAAAGTTTTGCTTGCAACGAGATCACGTGATTACGACGATGACGATGATGATCGTCATAATCGTGTCCATCATTCTTATCCTCGACACAGGATCGTCGCCGTGCTCATCTCTAGCGCGTCAGTAGGCGCATTAGGCCTAATGGGTAAATATTCTACCGGCCTCAAGTGTCTATTTTCTCAGCGAATAAAGTTCAACGTAAATGGTATTGCGTCATATCAGTGAATAATTAATTGCCTTAGTTCATAGGAGGAGGTTTTAAACACCTACAATAGTTTCATCGCTTCCCAGTCTTTATAGGAGTCAGTGTCATTTGATTGTAGAGTCAAGTCAGGAGAGCTCGTTATTAATTGCCAAACAGACCTACATCTGAATAGGCACAATTCCGCTAGTATTATTTTTATTTTTCTATTAACTCTATGTTTCCACTATTACCTGTAAAGATGTAGTCTCGGTACAAGATGATCTCGAAGGTTTGACAAAGATTCAAATTTGATTTCGATGACCCTTATCAAAAGTGATGGCAAGGAATTGTTTGTTTGTCTATCTTGATTTTAGCCACCTGAAACACCTCTGCAGTAGCGTTACAGCAGGGATTAGCAGAGATTGGACCTAAACAGCTCGTCGGCAATGAGTGGAAGAACGCGCCCTTGGCGGAGAAGACACTCTTTCATTGATAGTTCATTGAAATACATAACAAAGAAGATTCATCTAAATGGCTCATAAAGGAATAGTTAAGTAGGGAAACCGTCCTTTAGTTGCAGCTTGATAACAAGCTCCAAATTTTAACCCAGTCAAGAGGAACAAACATCAGTAACAACATGCTGACAGATGAAGAATCTATGGAGACGAGGTTGAAACAATTGGTCATGTAGTGAGCACTTGCAAGGGCTTGCGCCAAAAGATTTCAGGAAACAGCATGAAAAGGGTTGCTGGACTGGCCATGAGAAATAGTGTCTTACAAGGCTTCTTTATTAACACTGGTTCAGTACCTTCAGGAATCAGATAGGGTGTTGCAGTACTAGTGTGCAAATTTTCGTTGGGAACTTACCACGTAGGGCTGCTTGGGAAGTTAAGTACACTTGACAAGACAAGGCAGATTGATGCGTCGTTAATGATGTTGTGGTACACGAAGATATTAGAATACAGAGAATTACTTAAAATGCTGCTGACCTCAGGATGGTGATTGAAAACATGCAGAGGAATAAACTGAAGTCATCCCATTTGTTACAGGAATTCTTGGGTAAATTACTTATTTTATCTTGGGTCATTATAAAGTGAAGTACAGCGTTGGAATTCCTCGGATGTCTGCTCGAAGCTTCAAATGTCTTGCGGAAGGTTCTGTCTACTGCTACTGTTAATGCTACATCTGCTGCAGTCGTTGCAAATGATTCAAGATGAACTCTATAACTACTAATAATATCGTTCTTATTGATTTGTGTCTCATTAAAACAGAGCGCACAGTTCCTGTTTAAAGGTTATGGGAGACTAAGAGACTCATAATTCATCATCATCATTATTATCATCATCATCATCATCATGTTGTTATTGTCATCATGATTATTATTCATAATAATCATAATCTTAAGTTGTCCCGATTGGGGAAATCGTTGCTTTCTTTTATTGATCAGTTTTTCGATATTTCAATTAGAATGACGATAAAAATAACTGATTGCATTCGCGCACGATGTCCGCGCGATGAAGCCCTTTCAATACCACCACAAATGTCAAACCTAACGTAACTGACCAATAGGTTTAATGAACATCTTATTCTCAAAATACATTGAAAAACGTTATACGGCTTCATTCAGTTAAATTGCAGTCAATAAATCGTTGCCGCAAAGAGCCAAAAGGCTCAATCAGTATCAAGTAATCATGCCCTCTTGATTACCAAATGTGCCCTCGTGATTAAGAAAAAATGCCCTCTGTCTCAGCCAATCAGCTTTCAATAAATTTTTCCCGCATGTGATAATAGTGGTTACGCTGCATTTAGTCAAATGTAGGAAAGAAATCCTTTTAAATTTGATGAAGTAAGAAAGAAATGAACTTTTCGATACTCTTTAAAGGGATCGAAGTTAAGACCCAAATTAAATGTTAATTTAATTTAACATTTTCTGAGAACTTTGATTGTGGTGAACAATTTCTTGAATAAGCTTAAGTGAAGTCCAAGGGATCATTCGATCCCGGTCCGTTTCGCACATTTAGAGGTCTTCCTGCATTTAGGCTTTAAAAGCTGAGAGGACTGAACCATTCCAAGACACAATCACCAAATTGTCATTTCAGCAAAGATTATTTGGGGTTGTCCTTGCAACAACCCAATTGGTAATAACGACGGTGTATCGATATAGAAAGTGCGGAATACTACTTTTATAAATTGAACTAAAAATCTTTCAATTTTGTATGGATTTACTAGTGAAACAAACGATAGATTTTAAAGGGAACTGATGCTATCTTATTTATTTTAAAAATCTACTTTAAGCTCAAGTTTGAATGTTTCTTTAAGGTGTCTGATGTCTGCAAAATGAAACAAAAGATTGGAAAGCATTAAGATAAGACCATATGTGAAGACGATACTTTTTTTGTTGTAGTTGGATCACCTTCCCCTCCTGGACGATAGTTTAGGAGGAATAATTACTTCTCTTACCTCTCTCCTTTCCCAGATGGCCTGCAAGCCATGGGAAAAGCCTCCCTGTGATTTCAACATTGTAAGGCTTAAGCCTTTTACTCCTAAGATCTGATTGGTAATTCTCCCCTCTGGCTGCTACACATATCCTGGTAAACTAGTTATGAGAATTTGGTGTTAGATCAAGATAACAACCGCTAACTGATACGTTTGAAGATTCTTATTAGCTGTGTGCTGGATAATGTAAGGATATTATAGGGAGAACTTTCATGTTCATCACTTCTGGGAGTTAAAGGGTTAATAAGAAACAGCTCAGTGCACTTCATTTAAAAATGGCTGAATTGGCACTTTGATCGAAAATTCCTTTCTATGGTTGATTAATTGGGGTACAAAATTGTTTCTGAATTTCGTTTCTGAACCTTACTCTAGGGATTAGGAGAGGAAGCCAATTATCAAATGTGTTACTTTCTGTTTTCATACCATTGGATATGATCTCTTATTGCTTCGTTTTCCTTCTTGACTTGCAACCATCTTTTTACGTCTCTGAAGAAATCAAAACAGCAAGATAATGAGCAAACACAAAGTTTTTACAATAGTTCTCTCCAGTGCTGTTAACGTATTTTTACAGTTTCGTTGTTGCAATTTGGTTTTTGAGGTAAGTGAGATTTAAGACTTCAATACATTGATGAAATTACTTACTCAGACCTCTGGCTGGACTGTGCACTATTCTGCATGAAACAAAAATATGTTTTTGTAAGTGGTTAATTTTTCCAGAATCATGGCTCACGCATAAAATAATTTCAGTAATCTTTTTCTATGAAATCTTCTAGCAGCGACGTCGTACTTCGAAATTATCCGTGGCGCAAAAACCCTAAACTGACCTTATACATTGTGCTTACTTTCACAATTATATCAACTTAAAATGGTGTATTAAGATGCAGAAAAGTCTTTTCGGTGTTTTCTCATTTGTTTATGGTCATCACTTACCTGTAGCTCGGAAACATCCTGTGGAATTCCATCTATGCCTGTTACCATGAAAACCCTGGAAAGAAATCAAATTGGCATCATCGACATCTTTCGCGAAATTAGCTACAAATGAAAGAAGGAGGTCCTTGACCTCCTTTTTTTTCTCAAATAAGGAAACATCAGTATTGTGTGGCTAAAAAGGGGGAAATGGATGACAAATTTGGCGCCTGGAGTGCCAGGCAAACTGGACAAGATGGGGGATGGGGGTGCTCTCTATGGATGGCGAGAAAGGAGTTGTTGGGTGATTGAGACCAGTGTGATATTCCTAGCAAAACGTTTACACCATTGTTTTTCTTATTTAAAAGAACTAAAAGCAGCGATCAGAATTAACACGCAGGTATTCAGATGGTGAAGTTCCTTGTTATTAAATGATTTTCAGGATTCTTACGTGATGTCATGTGATTTCATCTTAAGGTCAGTTCAAGTGAATGGTTCAGCAATCCTTATACAACCAGGAGTTGTTAAAAACATTTTATGTAGGCCCTTATGAGTATCATTGTGAGTCTTTGATTGTTAGAATCATTTTCAGTTACTTATTTTTTGCGAGTGAAGACCATAGTTAAGGTTCCTTAAAAATCCACCTAGTTCCCCTCCTCTTCATTTCACATAAAATATGAATTGAACCCCTTAATAGAGATAAGGAGAGGCAGTCAAGTATCAAATGTTTTAATTCCTGTTCCAGACCATGGGATACGATATCCTATTGCCATGTTTTCCGCCATGACTTGCAACCTGTTTACGTTTGAGAAAAAATGCACAATAGGAAGACGATTGACAAAAGCAAATTTTGAACTATTTAAAGTTCTGTTCAGTAGTGTTTCTGTTATTGCATCAGGCTAGAACACTCTCGGTATCCTCTTTCTGATGTGTGACAAATACGATGTTATTACTTACTCTGATCGCTGGCTGGATGCTGTATCATCCTGCAAAATGAATTAAATGTTTCTGTAAGTGGTTAGCTTCTTCTGGAGTCATTGCATACAGGATGATATATGAAATCAACTTCTAGTAATCCTCTTACGTCAATGATATTATAGTATAAGTCTATCACTATTTTTTAGGAGTATATATCTGGAAAAACCTTAACAGGGAAAATACCTTGACCTTACAGAACGTGCCCACTTTCTCCGTAATTTTATATAATTTTCTTATTATAATTGAGTATAAATTTGTTAAGGTATCAAAAAAAGACGATTCAACAGAGAATTCTTACCGTTGACGGACTGAATGACTGCAACATAGATTTGTTAAGATTGAAATATTTAGTGTTTGTTTTCAAACGTATGTTTCACTGGCTATGGTCTAGTGAGAAAAGCTGAGGTTAAAAGTATAAGGTGCACAAAGTGAGTCAGTTGGTCAATTGTGTTTCTTAGCTTTTCATGAAAAGTGCCGGCTTAGTCATACATAGTTTTTGTACTGCACAGATGAACTTTAATTTATAATCATAGATGAGGTTGATTCATGAGTATGGAAAGGTAGGGTCAGATGCACTAAAACTAGAGCACTGCTCTTTTTAGGGACCCATATTTAGAATGGAATCAGAACAGTGTTTGTGTATATCTTACTATAAATCAGGTAATACGATACCTGTGTCACAACTCCGCTTACTATGACCTCCATCTCTCTCTCTAACAAACGTCTTGCACTGTAAAAAAAGAAAATTGACTCTTACAGACCTCAGTGATTCAGATCTTTGAATACTGCCATCAAAACGCCAGATTTTGGCTCTAATATTCTTTTGAAACTCAAATATAAGATGGAGACAGCACTAAGAAAACTCAAGAGGTATCCTTGCGACTGCACTGGAACTCTTTTTAGATCACACGGTATTTTGTAATTGAGATTTCGAAAGAAGGGATATTCATTGTTTTAATACCTTGAGGGACGAGTCCATTGATCTAATTGTAGTCTCGATTGTGAGATGTATGTGGCTAAACATAGTCTTAAACGAATGTAGCGAACGAATTGCTAAAACATCTCACCCTACACATGTTATTGTAAGAAAGTTTTGCTTTCAAGCCCCATAATTTGTTCGAGTGCTAGTGACGCTTTCGAGAGATGAAGTGGACTAAGATGGGGAATCTGCAGTGGATTTTCCAAAGTTTTGAACCCGAAACAGACTTTAAAATGGTTTTTGTAGCATTGGAAAAGTTTTCATGTTTGTCAGCCTTTTTCCTGTCGCTGATATAACTTGGGTTTCTTTGAAAACGAGTCGCAACCTATGTGGGATATGTGGAATTACAAATCTAGCCCCTCGACAAGGGTCGGCAAGGTACAATGATTCAAACCTCTCCTAAAATGCTTCGATTTTATTCTGATGAATTGAAGAAATGAAGATGAATTTCAAGCTCAATTTATTGAAACTTAAAGGCGCGAGGTCGGCTTCAGTGGAATCGAGAATCAAGGCAGGAATTTGGTAAATGGAACATGCATTATATACAGTACTTATACAGTCCAATAATGTCACACTGACTTACCTTGACCTGGAAGCCATATTCAAGCATGCAGCAATGTCCAAGGTCTGCCTGAGTGGCCGCGCCTGCCAGGGTGCTTGGAACGAAATTTTTTGTGAACCTCAAAGAGCCATGAAATTGAACGTTGAATTAAAAAGTTAAAAAAACAGAATTGTCGCATCAACCCAATGAAAATGCCGTCGACACCGCGCACGGTTTATCCTCTTTCCTTGTGGTTTCTGTCAAATGTGTTAATGAGTCGTCATCTTCGTTTGATGATTAGACTTGCCATGGCTGTGTTGTTCAAATGGAATGCACTCCAGTCGATTCTTCTGACATTCTTAATAATAAAGATAAAGCAGATTCGTTTTTAAGCATAGACTACAATCGCGGAGAATCTTTCACATTCAAGCAAATGAAAGTGTTACCTTCTACTTCAATACGTTTGAAAGATGATGACAAAGAAGAACAAATCACTCGCCAAAGCTTTCCGAACTCATTGAGATGAGTTCTCTCTTTCCGTGTCGTTCGTGTCTACCATCATGTGCCTCTGGTGGTAAATAGAAGACTTGTTCCAAGCCGTGTTTTGCCATAGAAACCCGTTTTTTAAGTCTCATGTTGAATTGATGTTGATGATGAACGTTAAGACGCAAAATTTGTGAATAGGAAAGCTTAAGAGAGTACGAATAATACTAACAAAACTGCCTAATAAGCTGACGAAATCGCTCCATGGGGGATGCTGATAATTTTCTGG